TTTATTACTCTCCATTCAAGCCAATGTTTTATTTTTCAGTCAGGTACAGGGGTTAACTAACACCAAGGATGAACAAAGAACATATTTTTAAAAAAGTAATTGTGTCAATGTTAAATACAATAGTATTTAAGAAAACATACTAAACAGTGTAATTATCATCCCACATACAGATACAAATTGGTTACCATCACTACTAAAATATTATTTAGGCCAAAAAATGGTATCGAAAAGGATCAACAAGTCTTAACAATTTCAACTCTTTGAGTGATTACTACGAGAAATGAAAAAGGATCAGGCTCCACTGTCAGGGTGATCCATCTGAAGTTCTCCACAGCAGAATCGCCTACTTAGTTGTGAGCACAGTTACCTTACTCTGTGTTGGAAGACAACCCTTGGTAATAAACGTGATTCCATAAAAAGAGGCAAAGGCAGATCTACACATTTAGATATAAATTTCATCACAAACATAGAAACTGCAGTGGAAGACAAGATGAAAACATACAGTCGGACTTTATGTATTTCATGCCATGCTTCATAATGGTATTGATTAATTGCATAACCTACTTCTATGCCTCAGTTCTTGTACCCAAATTAATAAGCAAGAAAAGTTAAAGAATACCTGTTGTCCTTCCCATTCTGTATTGCAGAATAGCGATCTGAAGAACGTTCACAAACGTAAGTGTTCCTCCTTGTCATTCCACTACCAGAAAATACATTATTCTAGAAGAAAATTAAGACTAAAATTAAATTAAATACTTTATTCTACTATATGTTATGTTGTACAAAAATGTAAGCATTGGAAGCAAAAAGAAATAGAGTTTCAGCCGTTTATGTATATTCTTAATGTCTTCAAATGAACTAGGTTAATCTGTTGACACAAGTAATTTTTATCAGCTATTTTTTTCCCCAATAGCTCATTCACCACCTCACTGCTGTACCATTGAGAGTACGCTAAAAGAAAACAGAGAGAAATTTAATTTTGCTGACACTTGCTTTACTAAGTATTATTACCCAATTCCCACATACTGTGTTACTGAATTATTTGTCTCTGGGACCAAAGGAACAAACGGGAATCCCAGAGAACACATCTATCGGTCTGGTTGAAAGGCTTCCCTGTGCAGATTAAGTTGCTGATGTCCTGGTTTCAGCTGTAGAGTTAATAATTTTCTTCCTAGTAGCTGGTACAGTGCTGTGTTTTGGATTTAGGAGGAGAATAATGTTGATAACACACCGATGTTTTAGTTGTTGCTAAGCAGTGCTTACACTCATCAAGGACTTTTCAGCTTCCCATGCTCTACCAACTGAGAAGGCTGGAGGTGCACAAGAAGCTGGGAGGGGGCAGAGCCGGGACAGCTGACCCAAACTGGCCAA